AATTATTCATATTTCCTGTCGTTGAGCTAAATTCGCTACACAAAAAACACTTAAGACCAGGGCTTGAAAATGAAAAATAAATAAATAAATAAATCCAATCGGTTCACAGTTAATAACGTTCTTTTTAAAACTTTTTCTTTGCCTATAATAATAATAATAATAATAAAGTACAGCGTTTTATACTCAAAAAAGAAAAAAACAGGAAGAGATACAGCATTATCTTTTCTAGATTTTGGCCAAATTATAGGCTACTAAACAAAAGTACAAAATCTGTTAGTGCTTTAAAGACATTTAATTATTTTTTAAGATATTTAAAAATGTTTGCTGCATTGTTGTCTATGATAAACCGTTATTAGTTTCCTTCTCTCCACAACAAATCCTCTAAAGTTAAGGCTATGCATTTAGGCTTTAAAAAAGTAAATCCAAAAACTAATTAATCTAAGGTGAAACTGATGCCTACCTCTCTTATTCAGCACGAATCCAACTGTTTCCATATTCACGACGTATCTGCATGCTAAAATAGCCTATTTATTATGTAATAGGCTTTGTACTTCACTCGCATCGGCATCATCCTTCACATCGGCTATATCAGCACAGTGAGGTGCTGGTCACGCTGAATGCAACTTTTTATGTTTCTTTAACTATATTTTATTTTGATAATGAACAGGCTGCAATGTCGCCAAATATGTTGTGTCTGTGTGCGTGTGAGGCGCCGGCTCGATGGTCATACCAACGCTGGTTGGTTGCACAGATAGAAGCAAGACATCATTCGAAAGTCACATTTTTATTCTTTCGTTTTGTGAATCTGTCAATGATTTTAGTGAAATAGCCTACATTTCGTGTATAGGCCAATAGAGGCTATTCCTTTTATGTAAGCCTATAGTTTTATTCTGTTTTCTCCGTTCACAGAAGCGCTGTAGGTGCGTGTGATCTGTTGAATCCTTGCCATTGCGACGTACATATGATGAGTTCACAGCTGAGCGGGCATTTCACTCGTTGGATGCGTCAGCGTCACAAATATTAAATAGAACGATAAAATAACGTTATTAGGCCATTTCAAATTTTCGATTCTGTTCGGAACTATAAAATTTGATTTCGTTTCTGGTTCTGTTCCTGTCAAAATTTCGTTCGTTTCCGGTTTTCGTTTTGGTTCCTTGAACCGGTTCAGAGCCCTGCTTAAGACGTTTCTCAAATAAACTTATTTTATGTTCCACTGAAGAAAAAGACAGGGTTGAAACAACATGAGGACAAGTGAATTATTATAGAATTATTTTTGGGTGAACTATTCCTTTAAATTGTGGCTTCTACAGAACCATATATAGCGATCATATTGCGATCTAACGATGGAGGTAGAGCTGTAAAAAAAAAGTGCACTTGGTAAGGAAATCAGTTTACTGAAGGAGAAATTGAATTGGATTGTAACATTTTTACAGTAATTGTGAGGTTTTTTATTGCTCATGTTTTATTTTCTTTTGTAGGTCTCTCCTAAAGATGAACCTAAAGCCCCAACAGGTAAGCCATTTTTATAGTGTTATAATAATGAATGTCGATTGTAAGATTATGAACTTCCTGTTGTATCAAGTGCTAATTTCTCTGTCTCTGAAACAGAGCAAGTTGGGTCTAAGATACCCCGCCTGGAGAGTCCTATGCCCCCTCTCCCTGTGTCCCAACCCCCAGGTGAGGATTTCTGTGTTTCGACATAGGCAGCAAAATTAATCTTTGGTAAAAGTACATTGCTCATCATATACAAAAAAAATTAAAAATCAAATTTTATAGTTTACATAACCTTTATGGGTTTTTCTATTGGGGTTATTGGAAAAATTTGAAATTATCTTGGCATCATCACAATATATAACTGCTTCTTGCTAGTTCAGACTAATTGCTTTTAGTAATAAACACATACACTGACTACGGTTTTTTATATATATATATATATATATATATATATATATATATAAATAATACTTATATTTTTTATAGAAATCGATACTTTATTTTCAGCAAGAACTATTTAAATTGATCAAAAGTGTCAGTAAAAACATTTATAATGTTACAGTGATTTCTTTCTATTCGTCACAGAATCCTGAAAAATTATCATGGTGTTCACAAAAAAAAAAAGCAGCACAACTGTTTTCAACATTATTAATAATTTTTTTTTTCTTGAGCACTAAATTAGCATATTAGAATTATTTCTGGAGGATCAAGGCTGGAGCAATGATCCATTACTGAAATAAATTATGAAATTATAAAAAAAAAAAATTGCACGGTAGTATATATACACATAGTGATGTTTGTCAATGAAAACTATTATAAAGTGATTATACTAAATGTATATAATTGATACTATAGTAACACGTCTATGACTTCTGTCCACACATAGATCGCAAGGCTCCGTCTGTCATCCCAGCTCCTCCCGCTGAAGCAGAACCGGCCACCTCAGCTGACATGGATCCGGCACAGGGCCCGGCTCCTCCTCTGCCCCACGGGGCCCCACCCCCTCTGCCTCACCGCCCGCCACCCCCTCCTCCCTCCAACTATATCATGGGAATGTCCACGTCCAGTTCGTACATGTCCGGCGAGGGATTTCAGAGTCTGCAGTCCATGATGAAGACTGAAGCGCCCTCCTATGCGCCCATGCCCCCTTCGTTCGGCCTGCCGTACCACCCACATGCCGTCTATCCACATGCAAACCCCCCGCCTCCAGGCCCTCCGCCCCCAAACTCTTACCCTCCTCCCAATCTGCCCCCACCCACCCCATCTTACCCCCCTCCAGGCTACAACCCCAGCTACCCCCCTCCGCCCCCGCGTATGCCACCAGGGCACAATGTGCCCCCTCCGGTGATGGGCTTACCGCCCGCTGGGTACCCACCTCCACCCGGCCAGCCTCAGGTGCCGCTGCCACCCCACGCCATGCCGCCTGTGGCAGGAATGAACAGAGGGGCTTGGATGAGATGAGGGGTGATTAAATCAGGCCCTACACGATACATGTGCCTGTATACAATATACACAGTCTGTATCGGGTTTATGTGTATTCTGAGACATTTCAGCTGCAGTGTCTGGGAGTCCATGAAATACCGCAGACTTCTGCTTGGGTTCAGGGTTTCACGGTTAGACTTTAAATCCACTGATGCGATTTGAAGGGATAGTTCACCCCAAAATGAAAAACTGATGTATTTACTCTCCCTCATGTTGTTCTAAACCTGTATGCAAAATGGATATTTATTCATACAGTGCTTCACGTTGGCCATGGTTGGTCAATCTACAAAGAGGACAATCTAAAAAATGGACCATACAACTTGTGATCTATGACTTGGTCCCTATGATGTTTTTGAAGTCATATAATAGACCTGTTTTCAAAATGATTATGTGGTTTCAGAGCTCAAGTAGAAAGGATTACTTCACATTGTTTGTTCTGGTCAATATGAATGGTTTTTACATGAAAAGATCTGAAAAGATGTGAAGATCGGCATGAGGGTGGATAAATAAAGACAAGAGTTTTTCTGTTTGGGGGAAACTATCCCTTTAAATTCTTACATTCCAAACCCATTTCTGTGAATGAATTATGAATTCTTGTTTGTACATATGATTTATTCTGTATTATCTGTAGAGAACCTTTTTTTTCAGTGTTATATATTCACTCTCTTTTGGCTTTGCTTTTTTAGTTGGTGTGTTGCAGAATCTTGGGGAAAATATCCCACAAATCATCCTTAGCAGTCCTTTGATTCAGATGCGTTTCTAGCATCTTTGACTGACCTGAGATCAAGTGCATTGATTGATAGGCATGTTCGTTCTGTAGTTTCCCGTATGTGCCTTAGTTTGGTTAGTATTTAATCGGCAAAGGACTTGCTATGCTCAACCACCTTGTGTTTGCCTGTTGATTATTTTCTTTTAGGCAGATAATACAAGTATTTTTCCCCTTGTGCATTTACTTGGTTGTGTCTTGTTTTAAATTGCGTCACTGTCAGGCTATGAATTACCCGAGTTAAATTTGTTTTTAATTAAAAAACATTAAATGTACACATTGTGTTACACAAGGTTTAAAAATATGATATTACAAACCTTGCCTGTGCAGTTTCAAAATGATACAAACAAACTCCTGGCTGAAAAGATTAAAGTTTCACAAGATATATCCCAGTATACATTTCTAAAATGAACACTTTTATTAAAACTTGAATTACATTAAAAAACAACATTATATTGTGTAATGCTAAACAGGTCATTTGTTAAAATGTATTAGTGTTTTAAGTTTTACACTCTAAAAAAATGCTGGGTTAAATACAACCCAGTGCTGGGTAATTACCAAACTTTCTATTTGCTTAAAATATATAACGTAGCTTTTCAGAAAACATGCTATGTCTTTTCCATATCTAATTTGTTATGCCTCATTGTGCATACAGTATGTTGTTGATTCGGTTTTAATTTTGTGAGGTTGTCGATGAGATGAAATGAGTGTAAAAAGGAGTAATTTCCTTCATTACCATTAGGGGGCACAATTCTCAAACATTTATTTTATTATTTTGCATTTTGCACAGCTGCTTTGACACAATCTGCATTGTAAAAATAAAAAAGCATTGCCTAATTTAGCAAGTGACATGAATTTGCACCTAAATCACATTTAGCACTGTTCTTCCCCCTGCTGTTGGCAACCCTATCAGATAGACCTACTTCCAGGGTCACAACCCACCATTTGAGAACAACTGAACAAAATATCCCAAAGTACAGGTTTAGCAAAATTGAACTTTCAGTTATTGCACTAGGCTCTATACATCTGTTACTTACAATAAAGTCTATAAATGTCCTCTATCATAGAAATGCTGGTATTTCACATTAGTGAAAAGCTAACAGATAGTTTATGATACATTTTATTCATATGAAGGATGTACAGTATGTTTCAAAACTGAATTAAATCAACACTGAACTTAAACTGTAAAGCTGCTTTAAAACAATCTGTATAAAGTGCTATATAAATAAATGTGACGACATAAAGCAATAGTTTGTTTATTGACAAAATTGTCTGGTTCACTTTGTACACCTTTTTTTCTTTACATCTTTACCATAAAATGTCTCCTGCAGTCATGCTCGCAGCTATTAACACTGAAGACAGGATAAACCTCAGAGGTTTTACACAATAAAACAACACAGGGAGTAGGTGCATAGGTTCCAAATAAAACCCCATGCACAAAAGAGGCAAATAATCTCATCCCCAAAAAATCATGGCTTTGTGTTCAGACCGCTTCTCAAGTGAAACGGCACTTTATTTGTATAGGATCTGCTTGCGACTCCTTTCATTAACAACAATAGCAACTTCTCATGTTTGTAACAGGTGGGTCAAATCTCATTGCCAACCAATCAAATGCACTCTTACTAATAGAGAAACCATCTCTGGTTAATTCATGTTAAAACTCTTTCTTTAGCTTTTACCCATTTACAATTACATCTTTTGGCTATGTTCGGAATAGCATCTTATCAAAATGCAGCATACAACACATATATCCCACAATGCAGTGTGCTCGACCTTCCATTGCCAGTATGAAGATCGAACTGAAGTTGCAATTTATTTGAATATGGAATATTTGAATGCTACTGTTTACGGTTGTAAAATGTGTACTGTTTTATATACTATTTCTTTTTTTAATATAGTATTTAGCATATATTGCACAATAATATGCTAGGTTTGCATTCTGAACACAGCCGTAGTATTTCATTTATAGTCATGCCTGTTTTTGAACTCTGGTTTATTTGACATCGAAAAGAATATCAGGAAAAGAGACTCACATACATTAAACTATTGCTGACATGCATTTAAATGAGCTGAACATCACTTGCTATTTCCAGACCTTGATCACTATTTAAGATAACAATAGTTCTCTGCTGAATAGCAGGCCAGACTTTTGAGGGAAAATGTGAGGAATTTAAACATAAAATGTATTAAATGGTGCTGAAAGTGACAACTGAAAGCATTATCAAATTAGCCAAAATATATAATAAATGAACAAGCATGGGGTGGTAAATATGCATAACTTCTAATGGATTCCATGAGGGATTGTGATAATTTTTCATCCAAAACAAACAATAATAATAATAACTGACAGTGACAGAGAATCCCCCTGCATCAACTACTTAAAACTGAAACTGCTTGATAGGCGCCGTTTTCCTTCATGGACTGAAATATTAAGTTGGGGCAGGACATATTGATTAAACCACTTTTTGGACCAATAGTCCACTTTTTGAGACACAAAGCTGCTTTAATTTAAACTTTGACCCCATTGCCATCATCTGTCATGCATTCATGTGGAGGTCAATGTGGAGCATTGCATGTTTTTTTGTTGTTGTTTTTTTTACTTGAATCATGAGAAAGGGCCTTCAGGAGTTTTAGGGGCCGTTTACACGACAACATTTTCATCTAAAAACGGGAAACTTTCTATGCGTTTTGCCTGTTACACGACAACAGCGTTTTGGGGACTGAAAACGCATATTTTTGAAAACGGGTTTCAAAGTGCAAGTTTTTGAAAACGGCACCGTTATCGTTTCCGTGTAAACACCCAAATACGGGAATCTTTGAAAACGGTGACGTCATGCGAGTGCATAGTACGTGTTGGGTATGTAGACATGCGCAGTATGTGTTGATTTTAAAGGCAAGCCCGAACAAATGTACACAACAATGGCGGAGTATATGGTACTGTTGTTGCTGCTCAAGAGTTTGCTAACGCTTCTTCAGCAAAGTGTGGATTTACTTCACCAATATTACAACCAACAGCGGAGACGCGTCATATACAACATAGTACCTGTAGGGAAGTGACGATTTTGTTTACTAGCAAGGTGACAGCGCTAACTACTGGCCTGGCATACGTAGTACAGCGTTTTTGGCCGTTTTTGCGGATATGTGTAAATGCAAATAATTTTGAAAATGTTGTCGTGTATACGTGAAATTTTTTTAAAAACGCAAGGGAAAAACGTTTCCGTTTTTGACTACATCGTTGTCGTGTAAATGTAGCCTTAGATTTGTAGGTAAACTCCAAGGGTTGAAACAGATAGCCTAGACTTTTAAAACATTAGGTTAGCACAATTATTTCTGCCAATGCATCAGTCTTGACTGTTAAAGGGTCAATCAAGGACTTAAAAAGGCTGTAAAAGGACAAAACTACTATGTTTCAGACATGATGTATACTTGCCATTTCCCTAGACCTGAGAGACATGATTGTCTAGCATGCACACCGTTTTAAAATTTGACATCTTAAATATACAAAATTATAAACCAAACATCATCACATCATCAACATCACACTTGAGCTTCACATCACAGAAATGATAGATATGTACTGGAGCCTGTGTTTCAATCCTTGATCAACAATGCAATGCGATAGATTTTTGTATTTTAATGGTTTATGTTCACTCATCATTATTTAGAGTGCAGGTTTAAAAACATCTGTAAACATTTAATCACATGAAGCTGTTTCTACTTCCACTTCAGTGAATCTCAATGAACTGCAGATATTGTTATTTTTGACATTTCATCAGAACACAGACTGTAACGAACATACAGTTTAATATTCCTACAGTATCTGATGTGAGGAAGACGGTGATGTACCTTTAGTTACGTGTGTGTTTGTAGTCGAGGGATCCTGAGAGTTTGTGCTGTGGACTGGAGTCACTGCTGGCGTTGTTTTAGTTAACAATTTGTGACTAAAGAGCCGACATCGAAGGATCAAAAAGCGACGTCGCTATGAACGCTTGGCCGCCACAAGCCAGTAGTTGAACCTGGTTATATGCTTGGAGTTGATCTGATGGGTCCATTCCCAAAGAGTGTCAAACAAAATGAACATCTCTTAGTAATCGTTGATTACTGTTCCAAGTGGGTGGAGCTATTTCCTTTAAGAGTGGCAAAAGCCCCCCCAATAGCCAGAATCCTAGTGGAGGAAATCTTCACTCGATGGGGCACCCCTGCTTATTTGGTGTCAGATCGCGGAGCTCAGTTTACCTCACAGCTACTTTCCTTAATCTGCAAACAGTGGGGAGTCATACAAAAATTGACTACATCCTATCATCCCCAAACGAATATGACAGAACGGATCAATCGCAACCTGAAGACAATGATTGCTTCATACGTGGGAGATCAGCATCGCCAATGGGACCGATGGTTGCCTGAATTTAGGTTTGCAATCAACTACTTTCCAAGAGAGTACAGGATTCACACCAGCCGAAGTAGCTTTGGGACGGAAATTAAAGGGACCGTTAGAGAGGGCCTTACATCAACCTCCTGCTCCTTGTAGTCCTGCCTATAATGTGTTGGAAAGACAACAGCAACTCATTGACCTTGTGAAGAAAAATGTGGAACGAGCCCAACATAGACAAAAACACTACTATGACCTGCGACGCAAGCACAGTCAATTCCAAGTGGGAGATGTAGTCTGGGTTCGGTCTCACCCTTTGTCCAGAGCTGAAGAAGGCTTTATGGCTAAATTAGCAGCGAAGTGGAAAGGTCCGGCTAAGATTGTTAAATGTCTTGGTCCTGTCAACTATTCTGTTTCTTTCCTTAATGATTCTGAAAATGCTGAGACTTATCATGTGCAGAATTTGAAAACTTGTTACGGTTATGATAAGTCTTTTTCTGATCGGGGGGGTATGTAACAGGTAAATGTTACTTGGGGTGTAATTCTACTACCCATCATTAGGGGACACTA